TCAGAGGCCGATAAAACTTCCTTCTCGATGAACGGTACGGAAAAAAAAATCGACCAGGTGAGGACGACTCTCGGCATTTCTTTATCTCGTCGATAACGAAAGAAAGCGACGAATTCGTTTCGTTTTACGACAGCGCTCGTCAAACTCTTCATTTTATAGTGAAACGTCAAATTAGTCAATGTATTTTCAATAGGTTAAGGATAAAACATTTATGAACGTTCGGAGAACTCGATTTACATATCTCGCTGAAGATAGGGAAAAAAATTTCAATTTTATGATTTTTTTTCGACGATAATGCATATGCATTAAATCCCACCTAATCATCGAGTCCGCATCGACTCGTCAACATCAACGAGTTTGCTAGCGCAACATGTAACTCCGTTTGAAAAACATTAATGTAAGATGTTCCCGAAGGGAGAAAGAGAAAGAGAAGAGAGAGAGAGAGAGAGAGAGATTGTGCGTAAAAAGGAGAGGCAAAAGAGAGTCGCAAGGTAGATCGCGCGAGAGAAAGAGAGAGTGAGAGGAACTTAGTGGGGAGATTTTAGTGCCGCATGGACGTTTCAATTAAATCGTCGAAATCATCATCGAGCACCTCGGTGCCGTCCACTTCGTTCGCCATCGTCATCCTCCGCGCGGTTCTCGTTTTGCTGACGAACGTAAATTTCTCCACTCAACGGGACCGTAACTTCTACGCACACGCGCGGAGGCCATTGGGGTTCTCGTGCGGCACGCCAGAACAAGTCTATGAAATATGAGCACTTTTGATCCAGCATACCGTAATGAGAAAGGGGGAATGCCGCGAGTTTTTTCTTTTTTTTTTTTTTTCTTTTAATCGAAGAATCCCTCGGCGATGCCACAGATGCTTGAATCGAACGTTTTTCGATAGACAACAAACACAGTTATTCTAATAAAAAAAAATGCTAATAATCGTCTTGGATTATGTATGAAAATATTGTTTTTGTTTTTTTTTCATATCGCAGTAAATTATCAACAATATTTTTTATCTCAAGATAAAATCTACATTTGATATCTTTTCAATTTTAATATTATCGATAAGTAAAGATTGTTTATAGATTCTCATTGGAAATATAAAGACCGTTTATTGATAAATATGGGTTTTATTTATTTCGAAAAGTCGAGCTGTTATTGAATTTAATATATACCGTCCGCCTCGTATAACGTCGGTGTAAAACTCTCGTATGACATGCATCAGTAGGTACGCGAGAAACGTAACTACGATAAAACCTGATCGGGTGGTAGCCAGAAGTTATACGAATATTATAAGGACGAGATAGTCCGCTCTAGAGCTCGATCCGGATCTCGATATACCGAAAGGGGCCTCGTTATCAACCGGTCTCATCTTATCAGGTCGACGCAGCATCGTCGGTAAATCATCGGGGTCCTTGGCGGGGTACCTTTAATTACCGGGCGTGCACGAGAGGAAAAAAATATGAAGACGTAATATGTTATCCGGTTGTGCCTTCTTCTCCCGGGTGCCCACCGGTAGATAGAGAGGCCGGTTCGGTTGATGCCGAGAGGCGTTGCTCATAAATAATGAACACGTATTCATGAACGCCACCGGTTACTTCGTCGCTGAAGATGAGCTGCGGCCAGATGGAACCTAGTGCATAGCAATCGGGGAAAATCGCCGCTCGAAAACAAAAAAAACGCTTTTCGCCGAGAGCGTATCCTCGAGATTGATTCCATTTTGAGAGAGAACAGAAAGAAGAGTCGTGTCTCTTCTCTCTCTCAACGCAATAAAAAACTTGCTTTATTTTAATACTCACAAATATTATTTATCACAATTTTCATGTTGAACGTTCTGTTTCTACAATATTTAAAAAAGTAAATTTTGAAATTTGTGTTATTTTATTTTTTTTAAAGAGAGAAAAAGTATGTAACTATAAAATATTCTCAGTAATTGAATATTGACTGAGTGCATATTTTCATACACAGAAAACAAGTTTTGTCACTTATACAGGTCAGGCAAGAAAAATTTGTTGAGTATACTGAAAGTTTCTGTTTCATCAGCAAAAACGTTTTTGTTGGCAAAACAAATATCTCAATAAGCTTAGCAAATATATTTTTTACTGCTCATATAATAACTAATTTTCTTGCTAATCTAGCACATTTTTTGTAATAAATAATTATTAATATTAATTCATATCTCGCTTGCTCTATATCTCGTTACGGAACTTTTCAATCGATTGATCGGCGTCTCGAGAGAGAGAGAGAGAAAGCGCTAATTAATTCCTGCGAGTAGGCTGATCGACGCTAGTCCGGCGCACAAGGACGAGAATGGTATATCGATCTAGCTGAACGATTAATACATCCCGTTGCGCGGAGGAGGTCGACGGACCGTTTAATCGCCGATAGTTCGTCGGGAAAGAAAATGGCCGAGGTGGTAATCGCTACCTGCGGAAGCCCGGGCGATCGACGTCCGATAGGATACCAATATAATACACCAGTCCGTCGAGAGACGTTTCGACGCTTCGTCGTTTGCTCGAATAATCTCGCGGCGCAGCACCGAGCGGATATCTAAACGAGGTGCTCGAAGCGCAGCCTCAGGCCGGCGCGCTCATGTATGGATATATATACATATACATAATAATAACTCGACGTGTAGAAGTGAAGTGCTCTCTCTTTCTCTCTCTCTTTCTCTCTCTCGTGATATATATCGGACGCGATATATCGTCTTTGATGGTACACCTCAAAGCCGGAGCCAACTACCACTCGTTGCTCCTCTGCGCATTCGTCGCGCCGGTCGAAGGCAATGTTTCGCCCTTGCGAAACAATATGATGTTTAACCTAACAAGCCCTCATCTCGCGCTACGTAGCGTTACATACGTTAGGTATCCCACTGCGTCCCAAGATTCTGAACATGTTCGGACACCTAAGGCGACGCCTCTCAGGATAATCTGGGAAGAGATAATACCGCTCTCTCTCTCTCTCTCTTTGTGTGCTCTTGAACGCGTTACAGGATTACCGCGGGGGGTGCCGTGTAATTAGTATTTAAGTTAGATGGATGAATAAAGTGTCTAGGCTTTTGCTTCAACGAAAAAAAAGAAAAATAAAGAAAACTAGAATAAAGCGAGCGGGACGATTTATTTAGTTGCTAGCGAAATACAAAACACACAAAGTAACGTTGTCGCAATTAAAGTCAGACGCGCGCTAAAGTAAAATTCTAACAAGATTACCGCAACGAAATCGCAATGTTTTATTTTTTTTTTATTTTTTTTGTTTCATCGCAATATGTAAATTAGTAGAAGCGCGAAATTATTTTTCTCGTAAAATAACGCAGGAAGTGCGGGAACGTTTACACCATCGGTTGATTTACGAATATTGAAGTCTTACGTTTAATGAGAAATACGAAAAAGAGACTGTGTGCGTATATTGCTAATGGTACGGTCAGAATGACGGAACCGATTGCGCTGTCTGGAAGCCGACGCAGGCTGATGATATTGTTTTACGAGCGATCCGCGAAGAACTATGGCGTACAAGCAAACAAGGTGTTCGCGTCTCGTTCCACCTTGACGTAGTGTCCACCTAGACTGCTATACGAGCCGCAGAAGCGAAGGAAGACGTAGCATTGATAGTTGGACAGTGAACGACGTGCTTGAGCGAGGAACGCTCTTCGCTCGGGAACGAGTCAAGTTCTCTGCCAACTATCTCGGGAAACGCCTGGAATTCAATGGATGCTCCTCTGTCCTATCTCGCGTCTAAGGACGATCCAAATATGGAACACGAAGCATCCCATAATCGGGTAGCCAGAGAGTACGCGGAAAGATGCGAACTCTCTCTATGCGCTGTCCCGATAATAATGTTAGCTAAATGCTTCTTCTTTGTGGCGAACAAAGGGAAGCAATATATATAGTCCAAGTCGCTTTTCCAATCTCAACTTCGAATCGCTACCGCTGTTTCTCATGTGAGATCGTGTAGGATTGTGTTGTATTCGATTCTGCTTTTAGTTAGTCGATTACTTTGTGTAACTTCTTTCGCCAACTCCCTTTTCCTGCGATAATTTCTTACACTCTGATCTATTCTGTGAGTTGTGTTTTTGTTAATTCTTCAAGAAACTGCGCATATAATTTTCAAATGTTATTCTTTTACGGTTGATTGTTTTATTTTTTTTTGTTTAACGTGGAGATCCTTTTATACGCACCGTTTTTGTTCTCGACATCTGATAGTTGTTACCAGGTTGCGCGTGTCGCGCAAAAAATCGTCGAAACTTATATATATAGATATATTCGCGACCCCACCCTTTTTTCCATACTGGACCCGCCGCCATCGTTCTTGGGATGCGGGAAAATGATCGGGAATTTTTCCCGCGCGAAATCACCGCGCCGACACTGATCGTCACGACAGGTTACACCGGTAGCGGCCAAGTTGGCTCTCCTCTCGCGTGGGTCCCCCGATGATTCCTACTCCTGCGTTCCACCACGATCCACTACTACCACTACCATCTACTCTTCGGCGCTGCCGCCGCCGCCGCCGCCGCCGCCGCCAATATCACCACCTTCGTTCATCCACCACCATCTACTCACGACTACCACCTCCTTCGCGGGCAACGCGGGGCACTCACCATGTGACTGATTCCCCTTCTCCGCAGGTTGACGAGCGGTGGGCCTGCCTACCTGCCGCCCGTTGCCCCGCTACCATTACGGCGCGGACTCTCGCGGCAGGTGCACCAACCTAAGTGCCACTCCGCTTACCTGTGTTGTGCCTAGCAAGGCAAGAAGTGTGTCCGGTGGTCAGGTTCTTCCCTCTCTTTCTCTCTTTTCTTTTTTCTCTGTCTTTCTCTCTCCCTCTTTCTCTCTTTTCCCTCCCTCTCTCTTTTTCTTCTTTCTCCTTCCCTCTTCCTCTTCTCGTTAACTATCTCTTCCTTTTTCCCTCTGTCTATCCCCCTACCTGTCTCCGTCTCTCTCTGTCCTCCCTCCGCTGTCTCTGTTTATCCGTCTATCCTCTTCGACATCACCTCACGCAGCAGTGCCGTGTTGTAGTGCCGTGTCATCCCGTGGTACGTCAACGATCCTCCCGGACTGAAGGCAAAGGATCGACCGGGTCGAGGGTATACTCTACGATTATCGTGACCGGTCCGATCGCTCGGTGTGCTGCAGTAGGGTGAAGAAAGTGATCTTGCGGTGACCGCGCAGAGGTGAAGGGAGTGATAAGCTCGATGGAACGCGCGATCTCTTGACACCGGCAAAAGCGGATGTTCGCAGATGGCAACGAACGAGTGACTCGTTGAGATACGGTACGCGAGGAGGATCTGATCTGTGGTGAATTTTCGTTCGACTCGATCGAAATTAAAAATAAATAAATTTAGTGGAACCTCGTCGTGACTTCGATAACAAACAACGCGATTAAACTTGGTTGGTTAAAAATAAAAATGAGCTGACAGTTTCAAGTGTCAACGTAATTGCGTGAGTCATTTGATAATCGCACAAATTGATAGTGATAAGACAAGGAAGTCACCCGATGATAAATCAAGACTCGAAATGTGATTTGTGCGATCGCACAGAAGACACTTATTATTACGACGTACAGCAAGGAAGGGGACATTCGGTGAAGGTGTCAAACGTCGGCGGCGCCTCATTGACATTTCCGTGACATTTAGTGCGCGATTCGACTCGAGTGTCAGACAGACACCTTTTCGTGTAACACGCGGTTACGTCCTTTTCTTTACGGGCGAAATTTGACGTGTGTAACTCGCACGGAGCCGCGTTATCGCGTTGTTGTACAACGACGCGTGACGAAGCGCGAGGAAGTGAGACGACGAGGACGGGAGTTGATGAAACGTTTTTCGTGCCTTATCGGCGTCGCAACCGGAGCGCGGCAACGACTCATCTTAAGACTTTATCTCTGCCTCTCTCGGAATCCTTTATTTGCACGTGCGCGCAAACCTCGATAATACGAGACCGACTTGCGCAGAGATTGCGTCTCTCGAGCCTGGACGAGCGAGATCGGAGCTTGTTTTTGCTGCGAATTTATTGAGAACACACCGCGCAACAGGTGGTTCCTCTCTTTCTCTCTCTCCTCATAAAGGATTCCGAGATTTTTCTCTACGTTTTCATTTCCGACCGACAGAGCCGAAGATCCATTCTCTCGGGTGGAGATTTTCACGCTCGTAGCCAAACTGGACATTCTTACCGCCACGTCGGGAAGAACGGAGTGGAGATGTTCGCGGGTCGCTGAGAGAATGAGGGAGCTGGACACCGAGAGTCCTGTCGTCTGGCCGGCCTGGTGTTACACTGGTGAGTCTCCCAAGTCTGACGTGATCGAGCGATCTCTTTGCCGGCGGTCATCGCGACTACTTCGCGCTTACATTTAGCGATTGAATCGCGTTAAACGCGTTAGAAAAGTGTTTTTTTCTTTTTTTCACTCGGTCAAAACTCAACGATCGCACGATTGATGTTGCACTGCGAGCGCGCGATGTTTTCGAAACAGTTGTTGTCGATCAAGTTTAATGATTTATGCGTTGGTGAATAAATAATCGGTCGAAACAAGCCCCACAAGGTGCAACAGGACAAGCGAATCGCGCCGTAACGACTTGCGGAAAGTTATGAAACGCACACCGCCGAGTAGGCGGCGTCAAGCTGCGACTTTGGAATTCGCACTCCGCTTACCGCATCGACAGGTCGAGAGTGACGAACGGAGAGCAAACAAACGAAGTCTGTAGATAAGAGAGCGCGCAATGTGACAAAAAAGAAAAATACTCGGAAATTACATAATACATCGGAGATAAATTAAAGTTGTAGAGTGCACTTAATGTGTAAGTTAGTTACTTGGCAACGGTGAAACGCAATTGATCTGGCGATTGGATTGATAATAATAAGCGTGTGAATTCTTCTAGTATTCCGATTATTTGTTCTCGTGCCACTTGGAGTGGTTTTCTACTTCTCTCCTATTGGGTTTCTTGTGCATTTATAAACGTGGCGAGATGAAACGCGTTTGCTGTTTCCTCTCACGAATCCCGAGAGAGTGAGCATCCTGTTATCGGCTCCTTATCAGACCGGAGACTTCTTAATTCTCTCTCCTCCTCCCTCCGGGCTGTGCGACTACCTACCTGCCCGAATCGCTCGACGCTAGTTTTTCGACGTCGTTTTGCCACACTCGAGAATTTGTCCGGTTCTGTTAACCGGTGAGAGAGAGAGAGAGAGAGAGAGAGACGAGCTCCGGATAGAAAGAGAGAGAGAGAGAGAGAGAGAGAGAGAAAAAGAGACGAGAACGCATCATCGGAGGGTGTAATTACGGCGCTCGATCTTGACAATTAGGAACCCTTGGGAGCTGTCGGTAGCGCAATAGGGTCCACTTAGCTCCCGCAACTTCCAGCCTCGGAGACTTTATCTCGCTCAATCGCCTCGCGGTATTTCGTCCGATGTCCTCTCTAATTAAGAGAGGAATCCGCGGATGCGCGTTTCCTTTCTTTTTTCTCGTTGAAATTCATGCGATCGTAAAACGTTGTCGGTGTAATTATCAAGCGAGATTTCGAACTTCGGCCACATGCGCGCGTCGATATATCTCCGAGAGATATCTCAATTTTACATTTCTCAAAACGTCCGTTCGCGAGATTACGTCTATATTGTCCGCCGCTCGGCGTTCTAAATTTAGACGCAAAACGAGTAACGAACATAATTAAAAACAACGCAACTTTTGAAATGTCTCGAAAACACACACAATCCGTCTCCGAATCATTGGTTTGGAAACGCTATTTCGCTCAGTCAGAGTATTAATAAACTTTTTTGGCTTTGCGACTTGCCACGTTCTATCTCGACGCGTTGAGAGAGAAGGCGTATTGTGTTCGCCAGCTCCGGTAGTGACAAAACCCGGCGCGATTTAGCTAGGCGACAGAACCGATGCCGCGAAACGCGAATTCGTTACGGTATAAAAGTTGAGGTAATGGCGAAAGACCAAGAACGTTTTTGCGCGCAACGAAACGCGCGCGCGCTTGCCGCTCGCGACCACTAATGCGATTACTACTCTCTCTCTCTCTCTCTCGTAGTCACCAGGAAACGGACATTGTCTCGAAGTCGCCGAAACGAATCATCCCGCGGCCGCAGGAATCCATTTTCAGGATTCACGAGTAGCGCGGGAGGCACAATTATTATTACGGAAATATAATGCGCGTTCTCTTTCTTACTTCATCTGGTGGTGATTTTATTTTATCATTAACGTTTTCTTTGATTCTTTTTGTTGCCGAAACCGCGACGTGTATGGAAAAGCACCGCAGGGTGAAAGTTACGACAATTATCGATACCCCCGACGGGGATATCTTGTGCGCGTCTGATTACGGAGATATGTTATTAAGTGTCATGTCAAATCGTATTCTCGTTATTACGTGATTTCTTGCTTTTTGATTATCTCGAACCAACAATCATCATCGGTGTTATTTTCTAACCGAAACGTGTGATACATCTCTTTCGTCCTAATGTATAAAAACTCGAGTTAATTCCGATCAGAACCGCTGAAAACCGACTCTTGATAGAAGGTGGTCTTCTCACTTCCGTGACTCGGGATTACCTTCCTCCTTTCCTTTCTTTCCTCATCCCCGCGACCAGATCTTCCCGACTTGGGGGATTTTCGAGAATCAGCGGCTCTCGCTGATCATCTCCGGTTACCTCTCTCGTCGAAAACGTCATGCCAGGGGGATTCTCCTTGTCGGTACGTCGTCGAACGATCGAAGAGGGATCGCTTGCTCCTCGAGCGACCTTCGCTTTCTGTCGACGAACGGCGCGACACTCGTCGCTACACAACCGGTAGTCCGCTGTTCGCAACACGTCGTAGTTTGCCGTGCGAATTGCCGAGGTTAAATATTGATCATTTCTCAAAATACAAACGCGATTACGCCGGTGCCGCTGTCACTGCGACACCGGTGACTTGTTTATAGACCACAAACCATCGGCTCTTGTCTCCGACTATCGGTTTTCCTCCTCTATAGGAACGGCCGATAGGAAGTCGTTCCGCGAGTAGATCGCGCACGTGGTCATGCGACTCTGTTTCCGACAGCTAATTAAGCCTATCGCTCCGATATGTGGTAATGAATAGATCCCGGCTCGTGAAACGTGTCTCGTGTTTAATTTCATTAGCGACGGTTTGTTTGGGAAAAAGAATTACGGCGTGACACACCGAATTTATTTTGCAATGTGTGGGATGTGATATGTTACATGGAAACTTTGTGTATTGTAATTTTTGTAAGGCAAGATTATATACGCTTGAAAAAATTATTTCTAAGCTTTGTAATACACGCTCGCGTTTTTCTGAAAGTCGTTTGTCTTTTCCGAATGAAAAACTAGTGCAGTTTCGAGATATATTATGACGAGAAGGTCGGCCGGAAAAGCCGAAAGAGAGAAAAAACACCCGCGGAGCCCGGAACGGTCTCTCATCAAAATCGTTCCCTGCTGTTCCGGAAACTAATAGACACTCCGGTCATTACGACAGAAGAAACGGGAATTGTCTCAAAATTGCGCCGCGAGGGTTTCCTAATCGTGTTTCCTCGGGACAAAGGGCATCTCACCGTTGGAAGGAGGATACAACCTCGGGGGGGAGGCAAGCAAGTAGCGAAAGAAGAGAAAGAAAGAGAGAAAGAATGATGAGGGCAGAGGGAGGAGGAGAGGTAAGGGAGAGAAAAGGTGAAACAAAGAGAAAGGTAGAGAAAGAGCCGGGGGAGGCGAGGGGGAAACGTGAAAAAGTGGCAGACCGCGTCGAGCTCGCTCGAGGTGGGAACAAAAGCCACCTCTTCTTCTTGCTCGTCTTCTTCTCGCCTTTCTTCCACCGCCTTGTCCGCGAGAGGAGAGAAGTATTCGGTCCCGCGTGTTAGAGCAGAGGGATCCACCGCTCCCTGGGATCCACCATTGTGACTTCTTGCACGTATGAAAAACCACAAACCACTGACGTTATTTCGCGGCCGCGAACACGAAGGGTCTCAGTTCTCTCCCTTCTTGGCCGCGAAGTCCGAACCGCGTAGGTAATACCTCCAAGCGCTCTCTCTCCCTCTTCCTTCCCCTTGTTGGTTACCCTCGTTCGACCGGACCTTTGTCCTTTGGGCTCGATTTTTTTCTTTTTTTTTTTTTTTACCAACACACCGCAGAATCGCGCGCGTCGAAATGATGCTCTCGTTTGATCGACCATCTCGGTCGAATTGGCCGCAACGGTGAGATCATTACCGGCCCCGCTTATCGACGAGTGCGTACGAGGTATCGATTTGATAAACAGCGAACGATAGTCGGTTGCAAGTCGAAGTAAATGGGATGAATCGGATGAATCTGTGCGAGCAGAACATATTTTCTTTCTCTTTTTTTTCTCTTTAAAATATTTTTTAAAACTAGATATATCTCTGGAACGGAAAATAATTTTTTTTTTTACTGACGAGAGACGGAATTTGAAGATTTATTCGTTCCGATCTCTCGCTTCGATTTCCGAATGATGCTCTCGAAAGCAAATGGACTCGTTTTTTTCTTTATTTTTTTTTTGTTTCCTCCTCCGCGCAGCGACACGCGCGCGCGCGCGCGCGTCAACGAGTCTCCGAGGCACTCTATCGTTCCAACAGGTGACAGGAGAAGTCCTTAATCGCGTCATGACGTTTTCATATCGGGAATCGCGCGGAGTCACGTCGCTTAATTGCCCGTGCGAATTATTGAATGCCGAAGCGCCGGCCGATTGCGCGCTCCGGCACGCGTTTATCTTTCGGGAAACACTTCGGGGCGCGCACACCACTCGTGAATCGAACGAGAAAAGAGAGACAGAGAGCGAGCGTGGTCTATACCTGACATTATTATTAACGCGCCGGGACGGAGTGAGAGACGAGTGGCGAGTTTACTGTCGATAACGAGCCATCGTGAGGAGAAGACGAGCTCTCCATTCAGAAAAGGTCTGGAACGGCTTTCGAAAAATCTCAAACCGACAAATGACAGATGGTCACGACTCTCCACGATGGGAGAGCAAAGGAATCTATCACGGGAGTAAAGAGAGAGAGAGAGAGAGAGAGAGAGAGAGAGAATGAGAGGTGGGATTCTGAGGCGAGCGAGTGGGTCCGCAGCACAATAAACAATCCGCGAGCATTATTATCCGGACTGTAAAAATATATGTAGATCGGTATTGCGAAGACGTCAGAATGATGACGATCGAGGAAGTCTAGGCCGTTCCTATTTAAATGCCACGTTTATTTATTTTATCAACACGTTGTTTATTTGCGCGCGCACGTTTGCTTGACGCGCATGACGAGTTACAATAATTGCTTGCATTATGCACGGGGGAA